GAGCTCTGACTGCAATGAGGTTACAAAACCTTACAGGAACACATTATTCATTTGATTTTCTAAAGGAAAAGCATTATTTCACAGAGAAATAGTGACTTTATTTAGATTCAACGTATATTACATGTTACTGTTGCCAATACAATGGATTTTAAACTGCCAAAAGTAGAGATTTTAAAAACATGAATACTGTACAGCATAACAGTTCAGAAAATGTAAATGTGCCAATGGACAGCTAAGCAGTGCTAATGATAAACATCATTTATAGATAATAGCTTAGAACTAGTCAAATAAACTTTTCACAACATGTTTTATTAACCTTAAAAATACTACTCGATGTCCATGCACCGATCTACTGGTTCAATCCTAACAGTTAATCAAACTAATATTTGACACAGTGTGCGGCACAACCTATATGTTATCATTAAATAAAAGATCTAACTAGCACTGACAACATATTTTTGAATACATACATTTATCTCAGAGTCTAGTGGGATGTCAGACTTATAATAAAGACAAGAGTGAGAGCAGTGAGTCAGCATCCCATAATAATCATCATCGCTGTCTATAGCAACACCTTTTCAGACTGGAAATCCCCACATCCCAGAGATTTACAGATGCTATTTGGCTGGAGACAATCAGGTCTGAGCAGATTGAAAGCAGAGTGATGTGTTGTGTGTGTGTGTGCAACACTAATTATGAACCTAATGTTTTTCTAGATATTGAAATCCAATGTGTTATTGTGTAATTTAAAAACCCCACAGGTATTTAATAACAGAAATCCTGCTATCCTTGTAATGTATATCAGTCTTTGTTCCAGCACTAACTCATTCACATGTCATATATTGCATGATTTATCCATATCTTAAGTTTAGTAAGGGCACTGTTCATGGTACACCCCTAATTCACCAGGGTGTCTCCCTCCCCTCCTGCTAATGCATGCTGGGAAAGGCCACATTCTGTGAGCTTATTCAGAAAGAAACAGGTAATAACACTAAAACGTTGTATGCTACTTATATTATTAGTTCATTGGGAATTTATGGAGAAGGTCACTTCGAACAGTCCCACATAAGTTATGACATAGCGCAAAGAGGTACATGCTTTACAGTGATCAATTACCTTTGTCTTCTATATCTATATATATATATCTAGATAATATAGACTGAAGAGTATGCTTACGCCTTATCCCATGCTAGGAAAACAACTATCTTTACCTACATTTAAACTATTTTCAAATGGATAGACTGTATTAAGATCTGGTAGAGTTGTACGTTAACATTAAATGTAAAGGCACACAGCTGGTCCCTCCTACACTGGTGAAATAACAGTGACTAGGAATAGCATCCTATGCAGACAGCCTGTCATTATAAAGCTGGCACACTCTCCTGCCCTCCTTGTACATCTTCTGCTAGAACAGTATGCCTTGGAGGAAGGACACACACCCACCAACCACTAAATCATCACCTATGAAAATAAGGAAGAGCTATCTTCAACTCACTTTGTTCCTTTAAGTCTGCAGTGCCAAAGTGGTTTTGTCTGAGAACGTTTTTTTTAACTAGTTTCCAGTTTGAGGGGATGTCATGGTTTAGAACCGAGGCCTCAGACGTTTTGTATGAGTAGCTTTGACTTATGTGTGTTTTATTTTAACACCACAGTCTGGGTCTCATATGCAAATGATGTCATTTAGCTTTGGTGAAGGCCATTAAGAGACTGCGAGTGATAGTGTACAGTCAAGAAAGGATACCTGAACCATTTAACAGTTTTAACAAGTGGCTCTAAAAAGGATTTTTTGTGTCGAATTCAAACCAGCTTTCATACGAAGAAGTCTCTATTGGGAAAATAAAAGTACTCTTTCTAATTCATTTAAATTCATTGAAACCATCAGCTGTTTATAGTAGTTAAACTGAATTAGATTAATGACATGCTAACCAACTTTAAGACAAAAACCAAGCCATTTTCAGATGGTGGAGATTGATTTTGCCCTGCACTCAATGTCCCAGGCAGCCTGTTCTCCCTGGTGGAGGTCCACCTCCAACGTATACATTACACATGGATACATTTATGGTTGAGCTATGGCTGTGGTTTTTCTCAATCTTGGAAAAGGAGACAGAATTATAATGCCAAATGAGAGTAAGTTCTGCCCGGGAGACTTAACTGATGGCAACACAATGCTATGCAAGATCTTTTTGCAACAGCTACATTTAATTTTGAAGGGGAAAGTCAAATATAAAATAAATATGTACACAACATGATCAAACTGGACACTACCTTGGACAACAGGGCCTGTGCTAAAAGCAAGAGAAGAGTATTGACATGAATCTCCAGAGCCACAAGGGCCCATGGGAAAATGATGACAAAGCAAAGGAAAAATAAAGAGGGACATGGTTAAAGCTGCCAGACTGGGTCACATGACCAACAGAAGCCTGACATACCACACACTTCCATACAGTAGGAATGAGCTGTCAAACGCCTGCTCCCCCGCCACACAGAGACACTCTATTCAGCAGAGAGAACCTGAGCAGGGTTAAGTTTGGCCAACTGAGACAGACTGCCCTTTGAGGAGGGCTCAGCTTTGAAATGAGGCTGAGGAACATCCATGTCAAGACAATATTGCCCTCTGATTTTCTCCTCCTTTGAACAAAACTCTGCTTTCATGGCTTTTGGGGGGGCCTTCTGCTCTCTGGGTGCTTCATGCATCCCTCCTCCTTTTCTCTAGTCCCCATTCTCCCAGCGAAAACAGAATACACATGAAAGATCCACTTTCTTCTCTAAATCAGTCTTTCACTGGCAGGGTGGGGCGCAGCTATAGTTTACACTAACATCTGGGCTGCTGCACGCACCGCACTGCGCGCACAGGAACGCGCACACAGACGCAGTGGTTCAGCCCGTCTAGCCAAAACGCGAGTGTATTTGTGTCACTCTGATATTATCACAAGGTCCGATGATTTAAAGTATGTTTCTACAAGCAAACGAGCACAGCGCCTCTAGAGGCATCCTTTAAGATGGGAAACAACCTGCACAAGGTGTTGGACACAGAGCCACATTCACATGTATGTGGCATACATTTCCACACCCAGAACTGGGAAAACATCCATAGCTCACAGACGCTTATGCACAAACAGAACTGTACAAAGCGCACATAGACACGGAGACACTGGACGCTTTCACTCCCAAAGCCCTGTGACCGAGGTGCTCCGCCGCATAATAACCTATTCATAAAAAGCAAACATGTCTCAGACTTCCGCCTCCAAAATACACACGGGAGACGACGGGAAGGTGCAATCGCCTCTCGCAATCTGAAATTGGAAACGGGGCCAAAGAATACACTGGAGCGGGGCAATTTATGTTACAAAAGCCCCCTTGGTCCGTAAACTGTCCCCGCAAGCTCTCCACAAGAGGAATAAAGAGCCATTGATCCATCTGTCCACTGAAACTTCGGAAGCAAATGTACTTCTCCAAACCTAAACGGTTAAACCTGACATCATGTTTCTATCAAAATCTGGATGATGGGTATCAGCGAAGGCAGTCATCCGTTGCTTCTACTTAACCAGCTATTATCATATAACAAGTGTTAAAATCGTTTAGTTCCCCTTCTGTAAGATATTCAAAAGAGTCATATTAATTAATAAAAGGTTAACAAAAACGTCACACCTTATAATCAAACACGAAATGTTCACATCTGTGGCTGCTGACCATTATTTAATAATCATTGACATGGTGTGGCATTGCTTTTTATAAGCCCCCTGTCAGATCTGAACTGATCTGGACTCAGGTGAATCAATGGATTCTCCGTGGTAAACATAACTAAAGACAGTCCGTCAGGGAACTGCAGCCCATACAGATCATTCCTTAAAGTCATACTCGGTATGACTCGAATACAAACAGAAAATGTTGTTCTACTAGGTAGGCGAACAACTCAACTTTCCATGGGCTTATTGAGCCATCCTACAAACTTGGTGAAGAAATCCCTCCTCCCTGCAGCAGAGGCCGTGATGGATGGACTGGTGCACAGGCTGAGCTGGTGAACACTCTGCCATCCTCACACAGTGCTGCTGTGGACCCGTTTACACTCAGTTGCAAAACACATATTATTTCATTACGGGATATTCAATTCACCAAACTTCTAATAATGCAACCGAAGCAATAAGTGCACCGTCATATTCATAGTGTGGTGTAAAATGAGCTGTCATTTCAAAACTGAAAGGGATTCTTAGTAGTGAGTTTTAGGAAGATAAATAGGAAAAGTCAACAAATGACAGAAAAAGCACCTGGATACCCAAAGAAATCAGCTGAGGGCACAATCGATGACACCTGTCAGCAAGCTCTGGGCACGCAGAAAGGGGAGACGCCCGAGGAAATGATTTCCAAATAAAAAACTTAATTCAAACCATAATTACGCACTTACGTTTTCCTACAGAGAAACGCAATTAACATGTTTTTATAACGACCATTCTCCGTCACCATTCCCTAAAAGAAAAGCTTAATTTGCAATAGCAACATATTTTCATATAATTATTTTTCTTCTTTTGTTTTAATGGGATAGACGCAGTGCCCATTGGCCCATTATTGGACTCTTAGATGTCCCTCGCATCACTTATTCTTATGTCTCAACTAATTTCACTCAATTCCCAAATGGTCGTTAGTATGGTCCATTCATAAAAACCTTTATGAACCTGTGAAGAAAACAAGTCACACTTCTTTAGGAAGTTGATTCAGTGTCAACATGAAAAATAAATAAACTTCTTAACATGCAAAATATATCTGAAATACTGTGGGCCATTGCTTCTGGGCCAATGTTTACCACAGTTATCGCGAAAAATGTAAAGAAACAGTTCAGGTGCGCAAATAGTCAATAATGGATTAGGTATTACGCAAGGTAAATCCAAGTAGACAGCGAATAATGACAAGGTTTGGAACGTTAAACAACATTATAAGTCGCCAAATAATTTAAGCAAGTCTTTAAGAACACATTATAAACATCTTTCTAATAGAAACTGTCTTACCTGCACGGGCCACGGTCGTTTGGCATACAACGAGCACCACGGTTACCAAGGCAAAGGATGAGAAGTCCATGCGCCATGGTCTCCGTTTCTTCCGGAAGGGACAATCTCCAGTATCCATAGTGTTGCAGTAGTTTGCCGGCTTGGTTGAGCTGTAAATGTAGGATATGGTGGAAGTTATCCTCTCACAGAAGGACAGCCGACGAGAGGGACCCGACTGAACCTTCTGCCAGGCGACAGACAAAAAGGCACGCCTCTGGAGACGTCGCTGCCTCTATCCCGGAGACTTTCCTTAATGAGTTACCTATGTCTGACTATCTAAATGCACGAAACCTAAACACTAAATGGGGTTTGGGGTGAAAATATATTTTATTTTTAACGTGTAAGCCCTTAGTGAAAAAGCCCCATTGAGTCAGACTGGGTACGAGTACCCAAAGCGGAGAGAGCAGCAGAGAGAGACCTGGAATCACGCTCTCTCTCCCCTTCTCTCTCTTTTCCTTCTTTACTTACACACTTACTCTCACGAAGAGTGAGAACGTGTGTGTGTGTGTGGAGAGAGAGAGAGAGTGAATGGCAAAGGAGGAGAGGGAGAGAAAGGGCGTGCGTAAGTTTGCATTCGGTGTACGTACGTATACGTGCACGGAGGAGCCTCTGAGTGTGAACAGAACGTTTTTAATGATAGGCCTATGCAAATACTTCAACCCCACACTAACAACAATTGCGTCCTTCTTTTAAACTGTGAGTTGGTGGTTTAATAATCATTGGATGTACAGCAGTCAGTCATAACGCTTCTCTCCTCTCTGTCTAAATAATCCAAATTCACTCAAAACGGCTTGCAGAACAACAAATATTTACCTTTTATATTTCCTTCTTTTGTTTCTTTATAAGTATCTGTGGCATGAAAAGGCCGGTTTTATAAACCACGAAGGGGAGTTCGGGGTAGAAAAGACAGGATCGCTCAGCTCGCTGAAATAGCAGAGAAGAGTGAGAGTCCGGCCAGCCAATCAGGCGCCTGTCCGCTCGTCTCGCCACGCCCCTTTAATCTAATCTGAGAAACTCTCATCTCGTCCTGATTGGTCAGTCCCACGTGGCCTTGTTTTGCAACATCAGCTCAAGTGTGTGTGTGTGTGTGTGTGTGTGTGTGTGAGTGAGAGAGAGAGAGAGAGAGAGAGAGAGAGAGAGAGAGAGAGAGAGAGAGAGAGAGATATGAAAGGCTCACGAAAAACAGACATGAGTAAAGAGTAATTTGTAAATCAGTGTGTAGTGTGTAATCAACGTTTGCCTGCCAACCCCAAGTCAGCTTCTATCAATCATTCCTCTCCTATATTTATTCTTTTTACATTTAGTAGACATACTGGAATGATTTGTTAAAAAAGTCGAGTTAAGTTAAAAGCAGATGGAAACATGGCACCTTACTGATTGTTTTATGCATGCATATTTAAAAGCAACCCACACATATACTGTCTGGTAAAAAAGCTGAATGATTTCACAACAGTTGAGCTTGGTGTTTTTTAGCAAATGCTACTTAAAACACTGCAAATGGAGAGCTGTGCTTTAATACTAATGTCGTTCTTGTTTAAATGCAGCAGGATGGAGACTGAAAGTTGGATTTCATTTCATTTCATTTCAAACCTTTATTTAGACAGATAAATCCCATTGAGATCATTGATCTCTTTTTTAAGGGAGACCTGCTCAAGTAGGTTCCACATGAAACATACAAACATAAATAGAACAACAAAAGGACATCATACAGCATCATTTACATAATTATCCACATAAACAGGTACCAACAGCTTCCGATTGACTAGCATCCAACCGAGCTTTAAAAACATTTAGTGGCACCAGATTGTTCAGTTTCCATTTAATTTGCAGACTATTCCAAGACAGAGGAGCTGCGCATCTAAAAGCTGTCTTCCCTAAGACAGTCCTAGCAGTTGGCACATTTAATAAAACCACAGCATTCGATCTCAGGCAGTAGCCACTTACAATTCGCCGTGAGATCAGGGAGCAGATATGAGATGGAAGTTTCCCTAACATGGCTTTGTATATAAAAATGTACCAGTGACTGAGCCTCCGTACAGTTAGTGAAAGCAACCCAGCCCTTGCATACAGGGTACAGTGATGGGTTAATGCTTTACAGTTTGTCACAAATCTTAGCGCGCTGTGATACGCAGCATCTAACTTGACCAGGCAATTGGCAGGTGCATTCATATATATCAAATCACCATAGTCCAGCACAGGTAAAAAGGTCACAGTGACTAGCCTTTTCCTGGCCTCAAGCGAGAAACAGGACTTGTTCCTGTAGAAGAAACATTACTTTACATTACATTGCATTTAGCTGACGCTTTTATCCAAAGCGACATACAATAAGTACATTCGACCAGGAAGACACAACCTTGAAGAAAACAGAGTCATATAAGTACATCAGGTTTCATAGAGCCAAACATTTCAAGTGCTACTCAACTGGCTTTAGATAAGCCAGTCCTTTATTAGTATATAAGTGCTTTGTTAATAATTCTATCGCTCGAAGTGGAGTCGAAAGAGATGAGTTTTCAGTTTGCGCCGGAAGATGTGCAAGCTATCTGCTGTCCTGATGTCAATGGGGAGCTCATTCCACCATCTTGGAGCCAGGATAGCAAACCCACGTGTTTTTGCCGATGGGAACTTGGGTCCCCTTCGCAGCGAGGGTGCAGCGAGTCGTTTGGCTGATGCAGAGCGTAGTGCACGCGCTGGGGTGTACGGTTTCACCATGTCCTGGATGTACGAAGGGCCAGATCCATTCACAGCATGGTAAGCAAGTACCAGTGTCTTGAAGTGGATTCTAGCAGTTACCGGAAGCCAGTGAAGGGAGCGGAGGAGCGGAGTGGTGTGGGAAAATTTAGGAAGGTTGAAGACCAGACGAGCCGCTACATTCTGGATGAGCTGCAGAGGTCGGATGGCACATGCAGGTAGACCAGCCAGGAGGGAGTTGCAGTAGTCTAGGCGTGAGATGACGAGAGCCTGGACCAGAACCTGAGTCGCTTTCTGTGTCAGCTGGGGACGTATCTTCCTGATGTTGTAAAGCGTGTATCTGCAGCAACGGGTTGTAGCAGCGATGTTTGCAGTGAAGGACAGGTTGTTATCTAGGATCACACCCAGATTCCTTGCAGTCTGAGTCGAGGAAACAACAGAGGTGCCGATGTTGATTGTTAGGTCAAGAGTGGGACAATCTTTTCCCGGAAGGAAAATCAGCTCAGTCTTGTCAAGGTTGAGCTTGAGGTGATGAGTAGACATCCACTGAGAGATGTCAGCTAGACAAGCAGAGATGCGTGCGACGACCTGGGTCTCTGAGCGGGGAAAGGACAGAATTAATTGGGTGTCGTCAGCGTAGCAGTGGTATGAAAAACCATGCGGGCTAATGACTGATCCGAGCGAGTTTGTGTACAGGGAGAAGAGGAGGGGACCAAGAACAGAGCCCTGAGGGACCCCTGTAGTTAATTGACAAGGGTCGGACTCAGACCCTCTCCAAGTTACCCTGTAGGTACAGTCTTTGAGGTATGAGGTGAGGAGGGAAAGTGCAGAGCCTGAAACTCCAAGTTTTTGGAGCGTGCGAAGGAGGATCTGATGATTCACCGTGTCGAATGCAGCAGACAGGTCCAACAGGATGATGACAGAGGAGAGGGATGCTGTTTTGGCAGTGTGCAGTTCCTCAGTGACAGCAATGAGAGCAGTAAAGTGACAGCAATAAGAGCAGTAAACCTAGCCTAACCCTCAGCTTTTTAAGCAGGTTATTGACATGAAGTTTAAAAGTGAGACAATCATCAAGCCAGATACCAAGGTATTTGTAACAGGTAACCACTTCAAGTTTTATTCCTTGCGTAGTTACAATATCTAAAACAGACTCTGGTGTCTTTTTAGCTTTAGAAAATAGCATTACCTTGGTTTTCTCAACATTTAAAAGAAGCTTTAGTTCAGAGAGCTGAGTCTGAATAATGTTAAAAACAGCCTGTAATTTAACACCAGCCTCCTTAATGGAGGGACCTGCACAATACATCACGGTATCATCCGCATAAAAATGTAAAGTAGCATCATCCACATTTTCACCTAAACTGTTGATGTAGATGGAGAATAAAAGTGGACCTCAAACAGAACTTTGAGGAACACCATTAGCAATGTTTAACCACTCAGAAGACAGCCCATCAAAGTGAACACATTGGGACCTTTCAGAGAGGTAGTTCACAAACCACCCTACTGCATGGCTGGACATGACTAAAAATGAACTAAGATTAACTAAGCCGGAGTTAAACTTTTAGGGGGATCTGTTGGCAGAAATGGAATATAATATTGCATAACATGTTTTGTTGTCAGTGTATAATCACCGGAAACTAGGAATTGTTGTGTTTTTAGTAGTTTAGAATGACCACTACATAAAGCAGGGTCCTCTTAAAAGAGTCATGTTTCTACAGAGGCCAAAATAGACAAACCAAACTCTACAGAAAATCATCTGGCATCTTTCTTGGCTAGGATATACCAGACCCAACAATAGCTGAACATTAGAAGCTATACAAAAGCAGTATTTACAGTCATATTATTGTACTGCATTGGATTAGCAGGATTATGAGGTTATCGCAATATGTTCCTATTGCACTGTATGAAACATGCTTTTGTCAGTAAGAGATAACCTGAAGATTAACAAACAATATGAACAACACATCTATGACAAGTAAGGTTTCATTTTCAATTTCAAGCCCCTGATTCTTCTTGCCACTGAGAAGATATCAAACCACTGTCACATAAACTTCAAACCTCCTTTAGAAGAGACATTCCTTTCATAATTTCAAAGCCACTTTCATATCCCTACCTGTCATAAACACTCAATAGCATCTCCTATATTTCAAAGCTTTCCCCTGTGCCCAGCCGTCTGCCTTCTAAATGTTTCTATAGTCACAAAGCCCATAGTTAGTCACTTTCTTTGAATGCAGACGCCACATGCAGAGAGTAGTAATTAACCATAATTATCCCTGATGCTCTATAGACTCCACTCTTTCTACCACCCTCCATTCCCCCTATTTCTGTCTGAGTCTCTGAGGGGAAAGGGGGGTGATTTGTTTGCATTCTGTGGTATTTACATGATGAGTATCATTCATTCTTAGTGCTGAGTAGCAATAGAAACTGTGAAGGAACTATTACCTTACATTATATACAAATATAATATATTCTGATGAGATTACAGGCAGAGACTTGTTCTGTAGCTATTTTCCATAACATAGAAAATATATCCCTAAAGATTTTGAAGGGCCGACAATATATTTCCTATTTACTTAGCCTTATGTGACTTGCATATGATTTGAACAAAACATACTTGCAATATGATAAGCTAAACATATTATGTGTATACATTAAATTAATCTTATTTTCATATCATTTATAATATAGATCAAATCACATGCAACAGACTGGTTGCTCCTCTTAAAACTTGTAGAATTGTTCTTTACATTTACATTGGAGTTATTAAATCAAAGTCTTATCTACTGACCCTCAGCGATAAAGATTTGAGTGGCTT